ATGGACACTTCTGTGACCATTCCGCTTTCGTGTGAAATATCGGTTCATGGCAGCAATTTGCCGTGAAGGTAAAGAATTGAAAAAGATTAATAATTAGAGAAACCATTGAATAAAATCATTTACTGCTTGTTTCGTCCGTGGTAGAGCGTGATGGAGATCTCTCGAATGGTTCATTCATGGATCTTAATTCAGATATATAGGAATTTGGAAAACACTGGGTTAAGTTAAAATACACTAAATTGTGTGGAGCAAGTCAAAGCCTTTGCGGACTCCAGATGTCTTTGGTAATTTCGTATGTCCCGATTTGACTTGAACGATCGTTCTGAAACTTATTGTGCTACTGATGCGATGGAATAAGTAGTGTTTGATTAAGAAACGCAAACACCTTTTCTTAAAAGATTTTTTGAGAAAAAATTGCTCATTTGTTGTTGCACAAAAAAGTCGATTTTTTTGGGATTGGGTCTTTTGAGAGCTGAGGGGTCAAATCACTTGGTACCATAAGGTACAGGTGTCCAATCCACCTTGGATGCATTCGTTTTTTACATTAATTGCCTTTTTTACTTTAAAAGGGAACTTTTTTGGGTGAATGGCACTCTTCTTACCTCTGCTGAGTCCTCTCAGAGCCAGAAATGAAGTGAAGAGCTACGTAATTGAAATCCGTTAATGAAAACACAGGAAGGGTTTATCGCCTCGAGCCCCATGCTACCCCCGAAGGGGTATGCTAGTAAGACTGTGAGTCGGGGTAGAAGTATAAGCCCTGACGACTAATGAACCCCACGGCTCCTATTCGTCATTGAGCCTTACAGGAGAGCTTGCCTCTTTTAGGAGGATACACTAAGGATCAGGCGGTGTTTCTGAGTGTCCCATCGTTTGAAGGACACATATCCTTTCTACAAAGAGACTAACTTGGAAGATTAAGGACTGTATCTCGTACTACACGCATTATCATGCGGCTGATGGTTCACGATAAAAAAGTTGCTTCAAGGGTAGATTGGTAGATGGAGGAGGGAAAGCATTCCACCGCACTCAATGCTGGAGGCTTGACCCTTGTGGGTGGTCAATTTCTACTGATCCGCTCAGTCTACAGCAGCCGTCTCCTCCCTCTGTATGGTGGTTAGTTAACATTCACTGCTGCTTCTGCCCCTCCAAGACGTGAAACGGCCTACCAAATAGAGAGAAAAGTTTTGCAACTATGTCAATGGTCAAGTAACCATGAAAACGGGGTATTGCGTAGTATAAACTACGGAAATGGAGGGTCCCGCATAGATGAGTATGAACTTAAACAATAAAGAACAAAAGGCTAGTTTGAAGTAGAAGATCCATAATTTTCCCCTTTTGACTGTTCAAAGACTAGAAAGGGTCAACAATAACTTTTACCAACCTTGTCTTATCACCGAAAACCTAAAATCCACTTCAAGTAAATTTTGTAAAAAAAGGTATATTAAAGCAAAAATGACGGGTTCGCAAGAACAAAACGAAGACAATGGATTTGTCTATTGCAATACAATCAAGGCGCCACCTCACAGACCTTCGGCCCCATTTTGCCTCGGAGATTTAGGAATCGCGTAAAAAAGGAGGAGAATATAAACCAATTAATCTAACTTTTCCGAAATGGGAAGAATTTTTCTCGTGTGTGGTTGGATGAAATTAGGATCTTGAATAATAGCTTCTTAATGGAATTTTGGAGACTGTAAAAGCAAAGTTTGGGTGAAAATTGGGATGGGAAACACCAATGTGACAAGAAGAGTGGAAAAATGGAAGACATTCCGTCCACTGATATAAATAAGGGAGAAAATAAATGTTGAATTTGTACTTTAATAACACAAATTCAATTTATGTAAAAAGTCTCTGCTCCTGGAAATTAATAAAGGTTTACACATGGCAATCAACGCTTCGATTTCACTTTGTCTGCCCAACTTCACTGCCTGTTTTACTAAGAGATCGTGCATAAGGCAGTATCTTTTCCAATTCCGAATAAAGTGTACTTCTCACAGTCTGGTCACGGGTAATTTTCGAGGTGGTACGAAGAGAGTGACGTAGCGGTGACCTACGAGTTTATTGCCAACTTCTCATTCACCCACTCAATCAGTCGAGACTGTGCTGTACTGACTGTTTCTCAACAACTCAACCGAGGGAGAGTGAGAGGTAAGAGAAAGAAATTGAGAGAGAGGAGGATTAAGAGGGTAAGGAAGATATCGCAGGCTTTGTCGTACATCCTTAAAAGTTGTCGGGTTGCATCAAGTAGATAGATATGCAGCAAGCAGGTGACTTGCCATCTAGTGTAGAGCTAGTGGACCAAATAAACACACACACAAAGCAGTGGCAGCACTATGAAGATAAAGTTATGCATTTCTTAGAAATGTGGGTTAAATTGCAATGTACTAAGTGTGGGTCACTTTGGGTGAGTAGAGAGGGAGTTGTTTAAAGGCGACTATTAACACACTCGTTT